CTAACAATTTTCGGGTGAAAATGACGTTATTAATTAATTTAATTAATATCATCCAATTCTACGTAAAATTCTCAATGTAATTGATATATCACATGTTGACATTTTATATAAAAATTTTCCCGATTAAAGTTGTCACTGCGGCCGAACCAGAGGTCATAGGACAATATAAATTACATAATTGGACTCAGCATTAAATGAACTTTCATATCTAACCAAAAAATCCCGATTGCCAGCTTAGCCAGATCCTGACAGTCTTCTTTAAATATTGTCCCATTTGTCAATTGTAAAATATTTGTGACAGAGTTATTGTGACGCCACAGGATTGTGCCCATAATATAATGATTTACCTGGACAATCAGATTTGACTCCCAGAGACTAGGAGTGATACACCGGTAAAATATGAAAATAACCAAAACAAAACCCCGTAAATACAACATTGGAAAATGCTTTTTTATTTGTTCCGAGTTATTGTGACGCCACAGGATTGTGCCCTAGATTTACCTGGACAATCAGATTTGACTCCTAGAGACTAGGAGTGATACACCAGTAAAATATGAAAATAACCAAAACAAAACCCCGTAAATACAACATTGGAAAATGCGCATATTTAATTTATTCCGAGTTATTGTGACGCCACAGGATTGTGCCCTTAACTCAAAGATTTACCTGGACAATCAGATTTGACTCCTAGAGACTAGGAGTGATACACCAGTAAAATATGAAAATAACCAAAACAAAACCCCGTAAATACAACATTGGAAAATGCGCATATTTAATTTATTCCGAATTTTATTTGTTCAGAGTTATTGTGACGCCACAGGATTGTGCCCATAATATAATGATTTACCTGGACAATCAGATTTGACTCCTAGAGACTAGGAGTGATACACCGGTAAAATATGAAAATAACCAAAACAAAACCCCGTAAATACAACATTGGAAAATGCTTTTTTATTTGTTCAGAGTTATTGTGACGCCACAGGATTGTGCCCATAATATAATGATTTACCTGGACAATCAGATTTGACTCCTAGAGACTAGGAGTGATACACCGGTAAAATATGAAAATAACCAAATCAAAACCCCGTAAATACAACATTGGAAAATGCGCATATTTAATTTATTCCGAGTTATTGTGACGCCACAGGATTGTGCCCTTAACTCAATGATTTATGGACAATCAGATTTGACTCCTAGAGACTAAGAGTGATACACCGGTAAAATATGAAAATAACCAAAACAAAACCCCGTAAATATAATATTGTAAAATGCGCATATTTTATTTGTTCAGAGTTATTGTGACGCCACAGGATTGTGCTCATAATATAATGATTTACCTAGACAATCAGATTTGACTCCTAGAGACTAGGAGTGATACACCAGTAAAATATGAAAATAACCAAAACAAAACCCCGTAAATACAACATTGGAAAATGCTCTTTTTTATTTGTTCCGAGTTATTGTGACGCCACAGGATTGTGCCCTTAACTCAATGATTTATCTGGACAATCAGATTTGACTCCCAGAGACTAGGAGTGATACACCGGTAAAATATGAAAATAACCAAAACAAAACCCCGTAAATACAACATTGTAAAATGCGCGTATTTTATTTATTCCGAGTTATTGTGACGCCACAGGATTGTGCTCATAATATAATGATTTACCTAGACAATCAGATTTGACTCCCAGAGACTAGGAGTGATACACCGGTAAAATATGAAAATAACCAAAACAAAACCCCGTAAATTCAACATTGGAAAATGCGCATATTTTATTTATTCCGAGTTATTGTGACGCCACAGGATTGTGCCCTTAACTCAATGATTTACCTGGACAATCAGATTTGACTCCTAGAGACTAAGAGTGATACACCGGTAAAATATGAAAATAACCAAAACAAAACCCCGTAAATATAATATTGTAAAATGCGCATATTTTATTTGTTCAGAGTTATTGTGACGCCACAGGATTGTGCCCATAATATAATGATTTAATGATGGAATCCAGATTCGGCTCATAATAGACTCATTCGTGTAATGAATTTCAATTTATGTCACATCACATGTCACCATGTGTCGGCCGTTCATTCACATCAATAAGGGATTCCTATATCAGCTCTATATCTATGAAAAGGATGTGTTCGGCAAGAATTGGACAGATTTTAAGACAATTAAAGCCCAAAATAATGTTCAAATCTCGTCGAAAGAGGTCCTCAAGATATGCCAGGAATCCAGATTCGGCTCATAATAGACTCGTCCGTGTAATGAATTTCAATTTATGTCAATATTATACATAATAATTATATTTAGCACTCATTTAATGACAATATTAACACTTTATCTGAAAATAAATTCATTGAATTTACACAAGAATTGTTAGAAAATTATGATTTAGTATTTATTATATTTGGATTTATTATAGTAAGTGAGCAATGATATAAAATATAATAAACTTATTATTATGTATGTAAATATGTGAATAATCTTGTAATTATGTAAAATATTTTTCATTGATTAATACAATATAATAATTGTATTAAATTGTAGAGTAAATAATTTAAGGAAGTTATAGTTGTACAGTATTACATGTAATCTACAAAAACAAACCGGCACAAATAAATCAGTTATTTACATTTGCATTACCATTTAATACTTATTTATTTGGTTAAGATTATGTAATGATCAAAGAACTTAAGTCTAAGGCGAGAGTAAAGGTGCCGATGAATAGGGGACGGATAGCCTTCGGTGTGCTCGACGAGACGGGTAGTCTAGAGTACGGACAGGTATTCGCGAGACTCTCGCACGTGGATAAGGACGGCATAGCGACCGGCGATTACTTCATACTCGACGGACAAGTAATGGTCACGAAGTTCCCATGTCTTCATCCGGGAGACGTGCGAAAGCTGACGGCAGTGAACATACCGGCGCTCAGTCACATCCGCGACTGTCTGGTGTTCCCGTCGAGGGGTATGCGCCCGCACTCGGACGAGATGGCCGGCAGTGATTTGGATGGCGATGAGTACGCGCTCTTCTGGAACTCGGATCTCATATTTAAGGGACAGAACATCTCAGCCATGCATTTCCCCACCGGTAAGAGTCAGGAACTGGACCACAAGGCAGAGGTGGACGACATACTGGACTTCTATTGCGATTATCTCTTGTCTAATAACGTGGGACTCATAGCCAACGCCTACTTAGCGAACGCTGACCTCAACGAAAATGGCATCTTCTCGGACGTCTGCATGAGTTTAGGTATGTCTTGAAGTCTTAAATTGGGTTTTCCTTTGATTTAATTGTGATTTTCTGTCTCTAAAAAGCTGTCAAATATTGTGTTGCATTGGATTTCGCGAAGACTGGAATCGTTGAGCCAATTGAGTGGAAAGAGAAGCCAAAACTATATCCCGATTTCATGGAGAAGTTTATCGATAAAACATATCCATCGCCACGAGTTTTGGGTCGACTTTTCCGTCAGTGCTGTGCCTTTGAGAACAGTATTCAATCGGAAATCAAACACCAAATTAACGCCAAACCCAACCATAAACTCATACTAAATGGTAAGCAGTGAATGGCTGTGTCTTAAGACGTGATTCAATTGATAACTTATGATCTATTGATAGGTTGGCAGAGATATGAAGAGTACGCGACAAACGCTTTTGTTTTATATAGAGATAAAGTGAAGTATCTGTTGAATCGGTTCGGAGTGTCCAATGAGGCCGTCCTCCTGAGCGGCGCCTTCACGCAAATCAATCGCTATATGAGCGGTAGAACTGAAATGAATGGTATTCACGAACTCTTGGAGTCATTGGTGGCCGAAGTGTTCAACCAATTTAGGCAACGATTCAGAGCGGAGTCGGCCTTTGATTCGCCAGAAGAGGTGCGGCTGAGGGCCAGCGCCTGGTATTTGGTTACCTATAGACTCAACCAAAACCAGACGCAGAAGTTCTTCGGCTTCCCGTTCACCATAAGCGACGAGTTGTGCACAATTGTGGACACGAGTGGCCATCAGGTGACGGCTTGTAATCCCGTCGACTGTAAGTGTATCGCAAACTCGCCGCACATCCAGACGGCCGCCGATCGACAAGACTTATGGCTATAATTGACTCACAATTTATCACTAATTTTATTATCAATTTTCTCTCAGGATTCGCACATAAAAATTGTGTCCAATTTGTTATATACAGTACTTATAGTTAAATGTATTTTAAATAATCTATTATTTATTTGTAACATATTTTCGCAGCTTTTATATGAATTTGTTATTAGAAAACATTAAATTAAACTATTTATTACACGATTTTAAACTTACAAAAGATTAGTGATTTTTATGATCATTATCTCATCGGTGGTAAAAGTGTCACAAGAATCGGGTATCAGATTCTGGTGATGATTATACGTCCCCTTCAGTGATGTCATAGAGAGGCTGACAATGTGTTCAATGTTTTGAAGTTTTTGAACACATTTTCAGTGGAAAAGTGATAAACAATTCATTCATTCATTGCTTTCATTGACTCTTAAATGCAATTCAAATGTCTTTTATTAAACACTATTTGCGACCAAAACCTCTTCAGTCGATGCGATGGTTAAGAGGTTTGTGTCATCAGTCGGCCAATGAATCCAAACATTTACCCAAAGATAAGATAATTACGAAAATGAATGTTAAGAACGCGTTGAGGTGTCAGCCGTCGGATCAGTTGATCGCCATTTCGGTGATAATACCACTAACTCTATGTTTAAGACAATTGATGGCTAACTATGATGTCTGTCCCCTCACTCGTAGGGTTGGGTGAAGTCGAGTCGCAAACAAAAGCCGATATTTCTTCACATAAACGACGGATCAGTTCATAAACACATTCAAGTGGTGATCAATGAAGACGTGGTCCACACGTAAGTCATTATCACCTCTCGATAGACATCATAACTGTTAAAGTCTTCGCAGATTAGCCAAAGAGTTACATAACGGATGTTGTGTCCGATGTGTGGGTCGTTTGGTGAAGAGTCCGGGACCTAAACAACCGGTGGAACTGTTGTGTCAGTCCATTGATATCATGGGTTCTTGCGATCCAAACGCCTATCCATTTGTGGACAAAAGCCTCGACTATAAGACTCAATACTTTCGACAGTTTCCGCACTTAAGGCAAAGACAACCGTTGTTTCAGTCGTTGGCGCGACTCAGGAGTGAAGCCATGAATGCCATCCATATGTATGGCCGACAACACGACTTCACGAACGTTACGACACCTCTGCTTACGTCCAACGACTGCGAGGGCGGCGGACATGTCTTCACTGTTAAGGTAGTCATCAACTGATCCCACAATCAATTGATTGACTTTAAGAGTTGTCTTGTATTTTAGTCCCCATTTTGTACAGAAGACAACCTCTACTTCAATAGACAGACCTATTTGTCGGTCTCGAGTCAACTCCATTTGGAGGCGATGGCCCGGTATGTAGGCTATCATTATCACCTCAATTGATCCCTCATTTGTTGGTATTGTTTTAGATCTTTGAGTCGAGTCTACACTTTGAGCCAATGTTTTAGAGCCGAACAATCGCTGTCCAGAAGACATTTGGCGGAGTTTTTGATGTATGAATCGGAAGAAGCGTTTGTGGACTCTGTGGATGAGCTGATGGATAGAGTGGAGACTATCTGTAAATTCATTGCTTACTATTTAAGCCATAACTGCAACGAAGACTTGAATTTGATTCATAAGGAAACCAATTATAAACTTTTCGATAACATTGCAAACAAACCGTACATAAGGTTTGAGAAAACTTTTTTAATTAGAAAACAAGTGATTGTATTATAATTGCAATTAATATACCACAGAATGACATACAATGAGGCGATTGAAACGTTGAGAAAGACTACAAAATATGAAGATTTAAAAAGTGGACAAAATCTGAACGCAGAACAGGAAAGACTATTAGTTGAATGTATGGATAATATTCCCGTTTTTGTCACTCATTTCCCGGCAAATGTGCGGCCGTTTTATATGAAGCGATTCGATGGACAGGTATTTATTCAGTATATTCTGTTGACTAATAGACCTGTATTTAGATTAATGTTTTAAATCTATTCTCAAAGGCTCTGTGTTTTGATTTATTGGCTCCGATTTCCGGTGAGATCTGTGGCGGAAGTGTTCGCGAAGACTCGCTCACAGAACTCGAGAATCGTATCAATGATCTCAAAATGAGTGATAGTCTCGACTGGTATGGCAATCATTGAGACATTAATTTGTTTTTAAATACTGATTATACGGTAACTGTTTGTTTGGACAGGTATTTGGATTTAAGACGCTTCGGGAATACGATTACCGGCGGGTATGGCATAGGATTTGATAGACTCATGCAAACTATGACAGGTATTCCCAATATCAGGGATGTGTCGACTTTTCCCAGATTTCTACACAATTGTTTGCTTTGAACGAAAATTTTTCAATACAATCATTGAATTATCAATTCATTTGCCACTGCTTTATACCGGTTGTCTGTTTTTAAATGAAATTTATATACAAATTCTTTAAAATAAATTATTTATTATAAATGCTGTCCATGTAATTAATTAACTTTTTATAATGAGTCCAAAGTGTTTGTGTTTATGTAAAATATTTATGTAAATAACGAAAGTAATAGGAAATGAGAGTATTGTGAAACAAAACTTATTTTGTGTACAAATATCTGAAGAACTTAATGACAATCATAATGGCGATGAGGAAGGCGCCGATATATAAGGGAATGGAGGGGTAGACGAGTGGATTGGGGTCTTCGGACGCATTGAGTGTAATCGACATCTGAATCAAGAGGAAGAAGAACGCGATTTGAACGAAGAATACGGCGGTTGAGTGCATACGGCTGTTGATAGGCGTCGAGCTGTAGACGTAATACAGGTTATAGCGATCGACCAGATGTTTGACCGTCAGGTAGAACAGGCCTATCGGGGCATCAAATGGCATACACTGTAACTATGGCTATCGTATGGTTGTATCGCATACCTGCCGGCGCTATCAGTGGACTCGATATGCAATAAGTGATGACAATCGTGAAGATTAATAGCATTCGCGGGTATTTCGTGCCGAACGAGAACCGGAAGACTATCTTTTGTCGGGCGCTCTCATACTCGGCCACACTTCGCGAGTAGTAAAACAAATAGAAGACATAACTCGATAACTCGGGAATCCTTAAGATCTCGAATGTGTTGCTCACGAAACCAGAGGACAGGACATAGTTGATGAAGAAGGCGCTGTTGGCCGCTGGGAACAGACAGCCCCAGTTGATCCTGTTCTCAGTGCCCCCGAGCATTATGTCCAACAGTATGGCTGTCCTGTAGGGATGGAAAGTTAGGTTTTGTGTTAGTTTATGGTCTGTTTGATAGGGGAAGCGCTCGTGTATTACGTGTAGAGACCCAACGCGGGAAGTATTAGTACCATAAGTATTAGGAAGAGGTATATTTTGAACATTAAGGCGTGACTTAACCCCGATTTGGTTGTGTATGGGATCTGGTACTGGACTAAAGTGATCAGCGATGGCAGAACCGATGTCATTAACATAAGCATATACGGCTTTCCCTGTTGTCTGAGCGTTGCCTACAGTTTAATGAAAGGAAAGCAATATTTTATATATGATTTGACAGAATCCGGTGATTATTGATACAAAACTGACCAAAAAAGTGGAGTCTTCGGTGGACACGGGTTTCATAAGCAACTCGACAGCCATTGTCGGCGTTGACATAAACATGAATATGAAGATTAGTATCGCATGCATGAGAATATTCATCAGAAAACTGTATTTCTGGTCCAACGCTATATCACTCCTGAAAATACATTAATTCAAACGAATTAAACAGATTTTCTGAACCATTGATGGCATACCACTCGACATCTTCAGGAAGTGGCGCATAATTGACTTTCCATTTGTATGTCTCCATCGGATCCGGTTTGGTGTCAAACAATTTGCGGACCATATCGTAGACATACACACAAAACGAGAACTTCGTGTCAAACGCGTCGAAAACTCTGGTCAACACATGAGGAGACAATTTAAAGACCAAAATCTCAATCAAAAAACTCGTTGAATACTAACTCCTTAGCCATGGAGTACTTCTCGAAGACCACGAATGCTATGCCTTTAGGTTGCGCTAAGACCTGTTTGATTTCACCCTTGATTTCAGTGGTGAGTTCAGCCTTTTCCTCGGCATAGTATAGGACACCATCTAATTTGGGACAACACCCGCAGCAACAGAACACACCCCCGAATTTGCCCAAACAGTAGGGCCTCACTTCGCACCTCTGATTATACATAAGTCTATACTGAAAGCAAAACTTCTTGGCCTCAATCGACGTCAACAACTGGTTCTTGAGGTACTCGAGATGTCTCGTGTCGTAAACAAATGTAATCCGATTGATGACAGCTTTCGGGAACTTTTGTTTGAAGTATTTAATCAAAAAACTGGTCTTTCGTTTACCGATCGGTATGTTTTCAATCATAAGTGTCTTTCGGTTCACTTTCTGTACGTCTAAAGTGATTAGTTTCGAGAAGTGATACATTGTGTAAAATCCCTGAAGTTTTTGTTAGACATTTGTTTGTAATTATAAGTGATTATCAGACTATAGTTTCCATACCATGGGTACAATCATTACAGTTATGAGACAATGAATCCAATAGACGTTTGATGCAATGCCCAGATTGGAAATGGTTGTCCTGGAGTAGGCCTTATCACCCAATTCTGTCAGAGATAATACATGTCTGAGATGTATAGTTAACAGACAATTGGATCAATTGCTTACTCGCTTGTCCCTGAAGATTGATCGGCAAAACTACTCCCAAACAAATGAGATTCAATAATATGAGATAATAAATGAGATATCGCTGAAAGAGTAGGTACTGTAGAGCGTCTTTGCCCTTAGTCTTGATGATGTCCTCATCCCTGATCAGCAGACAATCCTTAATCCACTCCAACATAGGTTTCTGTCTCTCTTCACTCTCTTCACTTGTCTGTCATTCAAATCCAAGAAGTATTTCATTTGAAAAGATCTCAAACTCACGAAATACTCACAATAAGAGATGTAGAGATGTAGTCATCAATTAAGACTGACTTCAATCGCATGACTTCCCTGTCCTCCTGAGCGGGATTGAAACTCATGTTATACTCGGAGTACAAGTCATTAATCTTGGATTCATTGGTGGGATTCCAGTCCAGTTCGGACCTAACGGTCGGCAACGCCTCCATCGACTTCTTCGGCAGAGATCTGGTTGTGTCCGACTCTACGAGAGGTCCGGTGTCTCTAAGCGACTGGTGTTTATAGAAACTAATGCCTTCCTCCTCGGCCTGCGTTTTGTCTTCAGGCATCCGATCGGTGATGAGCTGTTCGTACTCATGAAGAATGGGCGGTAAGTACGCCAAGCGATGCTTTTTATTGATTTGCTTGAATTTAGCCGCAAATAAATCGTTTGTCTTTCTGTCGCCGTATATAAAGTGAAGCCAACTATGGGTTCAATTAAAAGCCATTAATTTAAACACAATTTTTGTCCAATAAATTGAGTTTACTTTGAGTTCATGGAGTCATTGGATTTGGTTATACGGACTCTCCAGCGAACTATATTGAAACCAATTAACAAAATCTGATAATTGTTGTAATTATTAGTAAATTCTGTGTCAGTGTTCAGACTTTTGACGGTGTCTTACGATACAAATGATGGTATTGTAGGCTATGTTGTAAGGAATGCCTTCCCATCCACTGCTCGAATCCTTGTGTCAAACCAAGCTTCTGTCTTCTTATAACGTGAGTTAACAGAGAAATCTACAGTAAAGACATATTATATTATTAATAGACAAAGAATCTGTGTTTAACTAATGTTAACTCTAAGTCACCAAAACGTATTTTTCAAACACTACTAATTACTATATAAGCGCGAGATTTTTGTCATTCATTTAGCATTGGTTTATAAATTATAATATAAATCACACATAAGTCTCGCAATTTATACGAAAATAGCCGTTATTTTAAGTGTAAATGACTTCTCAATCGCTATTTATATTGCGGTCAATGGTATTGATTTGAATACAGCTATCAATGGACGACAAGAGGTGTCGAATATGTCTGAAAAACAATGATCTTATAATTGGCTGCAACTGTCAGCAAGAGTTGGCTTTCGTTCACCGAAAGTGTCTCCAGGAATGGATCCAATCGACAGTCAATCAGTTCTGTTATATCTGTGACTATGAATACAATTTACAGACAAAACACAAGTCACTCATCCATTGGTTGTTAGAAAAGTCGCCACAATTGGAGACATTAATAGAGATAGTCGTGAAGACAAAAAACATAGCGCACTGTTATCTCTTGGGACGGGTGGTCAGTGGGTTCGCTAATGTGAACCCGTTTTGGTTGTGGACACTGTTTGCTATCGTATTCTTGAGATGTCTTAACATCACTTATGTCTGGATTCTGTTCAGCCATAGTCTCGTCAACGACTACAGCGTTTGGAGTAAAAGCCATTTCATCGTCAAAGTGATGCCTAAAAACACCACAACTCATACCAACCACTGATAGTTTCAATCAATAAATAACTTTTAAATTCATATAATCCGCACTAAATTCACACAACTTTACACTAAATAGTAATGAATCATAAAAAAGTGAATAAAACCAAAGTTTTACACAATTGTATACATCGTTTCGATTCAATAAATTTATTTCACTAAAATCCGATTATAAATATCGTTATCATTATGTTAATATCTGAACTTTACCGAAATTTAATAATAGCTTTATTCCCCATTTTTATTTTTAAACTACTGTTTATGTCTCAACTCTGATTTAGTATCTCAAATAGTAAATGAATGCATAATTAATTAAATTATATATATATAACTTTTGGGGTCGATTCCAGTTAATGAGTTAATGGGTATACAAAAAACAGTGTACTGTATAAGTAAAACTCAATCAATAGTCACAAAAAATAACGATAAAACTAATCATAGAAATACAGCAAATTATTATTAATTAGGAAAATATATTCAAATCAAAAAAGTTTCAGAAATCAAACGAAATAATCAAAACATTGAATGATATTTCTGAAGACAAATGAACGCGTTTTTATAACCGATATTTATATGTATAAGTAATTTATGAGTCGATTTCCGGTTTGAATACAATATAACAATTATAGCGATGTTTTTCGATGCGATAATCAATACAAGTGTTTGGTTTGCGATTTCAATACTTCTGTCACTACTATTGTGCTTCAGTTTTAGCCCGTTTTGCGGTACTATTCAAACAAAACAGACACGAAATTAGCATTAATTTCAAATCAAACCCAAACCCAAACTCACTGTTCATTGGCGGCGGCGGCAGTGGACGCCCTCTATCCCGGCCCAAACCGCCGGCCGCGGCGCAACCGGCACAGGACTTCGGTAGCGTGAACTCACCGGCCAGGCATCGGGAAGAGTAACGCCCGCCGCTAGGCCTTCTAATACCGGCCAAACCACCAGCAATCGATGTGGGCGGTCGCTAAATGGGTGTTACCCACCGTACAGGACGCCTGGCGACCGCAGTACACCCTCACGAACGCCAATTGGTTGGGGTTCGAGGTTACTGTCTGTTGGCCGGCGCCCGTCTGCGCCGACTTCACCGCCAAATACACGGAATACTCGGTTATCTCGCCGGACGTCAGATGCGGCGCCTCCCACGACAGGTGCGCCCCTTCGGTGCTCTATAAACACAATTAAATCACGTATTAATCAACAAAATCCGCAAACAATTCACTCGCTATTCACACAAACCTTTGTTATTTTGATGGCCGACGGGGCGCCCGGATAGCCGGGTAGACACGTCTTGAACGCCGATATCTCACTCCAGGCGCCTCTACCGCACGCATTCACTGCGCATACCCTCAGCTTATAGGCCGTTCCCGGCTCCAGTTCCGCCTTAATATAACTGTTAAAGTTTGGTACTGTATTCGAGTCGAAGTCAGCGTCGGGATCTCGTCTATCGAGCCCTTCCGGTGCCATCAAAAAGTTCTGAACAGTGCACTGATTGGTCTTCAGCACCGACACGTCGTACCACTGGTTCTTATTCTTCAGGGGTTGCTTCACCACCACTGGCTTAGGGGTATTCAGTGAGGGAACGCCGTTCGTGACGGCCGAGGAAATGGCGGCCGACGCCAGGGTTGCCAACGGATCGGAATCGGTATTTGTCTCCGTTTTGACAGACGGAGGGTCGGGATCGTCGGACAGCATTTGCAGTGGAGGGGCCGCGCCCGGCATTTCTACTTTCAAACCTATGTGTCGAACAAAAAACACATTAAATACAAACTCTTAGCCAACAGACTACTCAAACCCTACCGCTAGTCGTGGATGGAGTGCCTCCTCCCTGTCCTAACAGCGCCGACTCCAGCGTACTCTTCGACGCCTTCGTCACCACTGGTTTGGTGTCTTCGGGTTCGTTCTCGTCGTCCGCGCCGTCCACTTGAGGTATCTTTTTGGGTGTCGACGCCTCGGTCTTCACGAGGCCTCCCGTCGCGGTAGTCGTCGGAGTGGTCGCCGGTTTCGTGATTATAGTGCCGGTGGTTGTCGTTCCGGGCGCTGAAGATAGGAAGACTAATCGCTGGCCGCCGGCTGTCGTCGCGTTTCCGCCGCCGGCCTGTACTATACGAACGCCGGGCGGTAATGAGGATCCCGGGGCTAACACTATCTTCTGACCCGCGCCGGCCATTCCCTGCTTCAGAGCCGACGCCGGGATTGTAATCGTTTTCGTACCGCCTATTCATCACAAAAACTCTTTAATAAAATCAATTTTAACGACAATTTCATTCATCAAATACCGGTTCCAGTGGCGGACGTTAACAGCGAAGACGGCAACTGCAGAGTGAATGGTTGACCAGTCTGTTGACCTCCCTGTCCACCGATAATAATCTGCTGCTGTTGACCTCCCTGGGGGGTCTGAACGACAATCATTTTGACGCCTTGAGGTCCCGTTACAATCTTAGCGGGCGTTGAGGTGCCCGGAGTCGTGCCGCCTGTTTTGGGCGTTGATATCATCACTGTTTTTGGCAGACTATCCGTCGATACTGTAAAACAAAACGCTTTCAAAACTACTACTCACACAAACACTACAATATAGTATATGTCGATCGACAACACATACCGGTGCCGCCCATTGTCTTCATGATGGTTGAGATAACTTTCTGACCGGCCGTCGCGTTGGTGGCGGTGTTGACCATCTGAATCAACTGCGACTGCGACGCCTGTATAATAGTAGGCGTTCCGCCTTTTTGGCCGCCGGCTTGCGAGGCCACGAGTTTCACCACTTGTCCCGAACCGATACCCTTAGCCCCGGCCGGCGCTAACGTCAAGCCCTGTGCCGTCTTCACTAACGTCATCAGCTGGGGCTGACCAGTGCCGCCCTGTCCCGCCTTTTGCACTATAATCTGTTTGGCGCCCATAGGCGACTGGCCGGGCGTTATAAGCCGTATGGCCTGCTGTCCGCCCTGTACTGAACCCGACGCCAATTTAATAGTCTGTCCGCTCGTCGTCTGAATCAACTGCTGGGGAGTAATCACTCGAATACCCGTTTGCGTCAACGGTGTGGTCGCCGGTGTGGACACGGGTTGGAGCGTCGGTGTAAACCCGACGCCAATTTAATAGTCTGTCCGCTCGTCGTCTGAATCAACTGCTGGGGAGTAATCACTCGAATACCCGTTTGCGTCAACGGTGTGGTCGCCGGTGTGGACACGGGTTGGAGCGTCGGTGTCGCCATTTTCTGCGTGGCCGCCGCCGCTGCCGCCAACGCAGCCATACCTGACAACTGACCGGCCGGTGCGTTGGCTATTGGCGTGCCGTGGGATACGATAACAGGTGCACTCGGCTGTCGAAAGTAAACACACAAACACTCAACAAAACACACCTAAAATACAACAAACCATTTGACATACCGTTGCGTTCTGAACACCTTTGGGTGATACGAGTGGAGTGACGGGAGGCGTGACTGCGATCGGCGTTTTGGCCAAAGGAATGCCCGGCGGGTGAGCGCCGGCGGCCGCCGATTGGGTTTGCTGTTGATTGGGAGGGATGTCGTACTTCTGAATCTGCAGCAGATAGTAGTCAGCCGTCGGAACAGCTCCCCAACAGATCTCCAGCGTATTGGTGGCCGCCCTAACCAACTGCACTCTCGTGGGCGCCGGCGGCTTATCGGTCTCCAAATACCACAAGTCCTTACAACAGACCTGATTGTTCCAGGCTTTCCGGTAGCCATCCCTACCGGACCACACGTACAGTCGGGTACTGATGGATACTGAGCAGTGGCCGGCTCTGGCGCGCGGGACTGAGTCGTCAAACGACTCATTGG